CTCTTTATCGACTTTCTTTTTTCATAACTACTGCTATACAAACAGATTTCGCGCTAATTCTACCACATACCATTGATAAAAGAGGTTCTTATCTAGCGTCCAAAACGTCGAATACAACTGGGAAAGGTTTTGCAGCTGAGTTATTGACGAAAGAGAAAGTCGATGAAGAGAATCGATCAATGCAGATAGGACCTTTTGAAATGTTTATCTAGAATCGGTCGATGAGAAAAAGGTCAGACGACAAAAGATTAAATAAGCAAAAGGTCGAAAGAACATTCGAGCACTTAAAGTTGGAATGTTGAGAAGCTTTTATCTGGCTTGGAACCAGGGTTGCTTCCACTCACTTGCTATAAAATATTGTTTTTTTTTTTTTCTGAATTATGAATTCATTAGATGTTATAATGATAACTTGTAATTTACAAAAAAGAGGTGCTAAGCGACCAGTCAATGTTGCTTTCAGAGCGCCGCAATCGACTCTGAGTGAACGCTCACGAATCATAAAATCGCTCATTGCGATGCACTGAAAGCGAAATTGACAGGTTTTATGTGTCAAACACATACTTTACATCCTTTTGTTGTAACTTACAACTACAACCCGACCATTTGTTAATTCGAACTTTTGTCAATTCGACCTTTTGTCCATTCGACCTTATCCCAATTGAACCTTTTTTCAAACCAACCCTTTGTCCATTCTACCTTTAGTCCATTTGATCTTTCTTGTCATTCGACCTTTTATCCATTCGACCTTTTATCCTCCTTATCAACATTCGAGATTTTGTCTATTTGATCTTTTGTCCCCCTAGTCAACATTCGAGCTTTTGTCCTTCCGTCATTTTGTCATTCGATGTTTTATTAATCGACCTTTTGTTTTTCAACCATTTGTCATACAATCTGTCTATATCCAATTCCAATAAAATATCAGAAGTTGAAATCAGTTGAATGTATTGAGGTTAACTGAAATCGAGCTTATTTGTATTTTGTAATACTTGTTTGTTTTATATTCTTTTATATATTGCATGACTAGTAAATTACTTTTATTTCACATATTTAAAATCTCATTAGGGGAATTTACGTATTCTCGGCAACCTAAGCAGCGACCTTCTTTCTATAGCCTTTTTCTCTAAGGAACGCACACATATGCAGTATTGGTTTGTTTATCTTTTGCTGCCAGCTGCTCTAACAATTTCAATCGAAAGAATTATCAAAAACTGTTTTGAAACGCTTTTACAAAGCTCCAATCTTCTCTAGTGAGAGCGAGTATTGTCGGCAACCAGTTTTTCTTCGGCAACCGTTCCATTTGAACTGCATGTAAATCTGCTGTTCTATTATCGGCAACTCGAAATCAGCTACAATTTGTTGTGCGTGTGTTTCATTTCAAGAAAACCTTGCTAGATTGCTTTTTCTCAGTGGTAAAAATATAGCCAAATTGAAGCTGAAAGCATAAAGAATCGTTTGCATGCATTCAGCGAAGTGTTTTCGTAAGAAAATCCAGTGAAAATAGTGTTTCAATTTGGGTTGCCGAAAATAGTCTGGCATGCCGAAGCCGTCATTTCCCCTATATCATTATAACTCTAATTTTCATGTCTAGAAAAAAGTTGTCCTGCAGATCCTGAAGGACCAGAAGGTGTATCAAATAGCTTATCATTGTTATTTACCTTTTGTTTTATTATAATATAATATGAATTTGGCCGGTTGCTGTTGGTGCAGCTCCAATTGATTATTTGGCTGAGATCATTCCTTTTTATTTATTTATACAGTAACCTCTCCCTATCGTTCAAACATCAATTCAGCTTATCGTTTACCAAAACGAACCCTGCTGCAAACTCTACCCTCTTACCCAACATCCCAGTGACTCCTCGTGGAAGTGCAGAGGATTACTCGGCTTCCATCAAAGCGAGTGTCACGTCAACATATTCCTGCCCATTCCTTTCTTGACCTGCGTTCAGGCGCGGCTGGCGCTGGTATTGCCTAATTTGAGATCACCAGTTTTTACACATTGAGGATGATTGCTAGTCCCAAGCATCGTCTATTGGTTCTCTGTGTAATTACCGAGGGGGACGACTCTATCTACGATGCAGAAACGATTGTGTTTTGCTGTGGCTAGCTGCGCGCACGCTAAGTAGATAGAAAGAAGATTGATGACGATTCTGAGGATTTCCTGCAACAAGATGATGCGCGATACAAGTAGATGCCGGAAATGAAATAAGATTTTTGGAAGATTGATTCGCTAGTGTGAAATTTGTTGAGCATCTAGACTTGAGATCTAGATGTGTCGCCCCCCTCGGTAATTACAGCTGATCTGGCAATAACAGAGTAGCAACCGTGGGCGGTCAATCATGCTCATGCTCATGCTCATTTGTCATACAATATGTCTATACGAGCTTTCTCCCATACAGGCATGGAAAATCATTTGGGTTCATTTCGTACATTCATTGACATTCATTTGCCTCTAACTTTTTTCATCAACAGAATTCCGTCAAATGTATGAAGCTTTAGCAGGTTTTGATATTAACTACAACTTTCGTCAATAACTCTTGCATGATGAACTAGAGTGGACAGAACTTGTTATTGTTTGTCAATGAATGGTGCGTTCTGTTCGCTCTGGTTCATCATGGATAAGAGGTACAGATTTGTGTTATTCACAATCTTCAATCTTTTATCTTTTGATCTGTTGCCCTAAAACCGTCCAAGCCGTGGTACTATCAAGATGATTTCTACCTTGATTTTTTTTCGATCATCAAATCATCGATTCAACGACATGAACCCATGAAAACGGATGATCTCTCTCACGAATGAGTAAATGGCGAATTTTCATTTGTAATGCGTTATTAATTATTTACTATGTTTTGTAGTTATGAAGCAGCCCACGGATGAAAATTACTGTTATAAAGTTTAAAAAAAACGCTTTTTTTTTGTTGAAGAGATATGCAGTTTTTGGGGAAAATCTCTAAAAGTTTTCCAAGTCCGCAATCTTATCATTAGGATTTATTGTTTTCTAAGAATGAGATCTTAAATTTAAAAATTCAAGATGCAGATTTATTTTAAGTCCCAAATTTTAGATTAGTTTTTCTAAGTGTGCGATTTTGATAGATTTCGATGATCAAAAATATTGTTTTTTTTTAATGATCGTGTTTTTTCATGTCTCTAATGTCTCTGCTTAGACAGAGATCTAGAAAACATCAGTCCCGGCCCAATCACCTTCAATGGCTTTCAACCACATTACCCATTCGGCCTTTTGATCTTTTGAGCTAATAGCACAGACAAACAGACATAACACTCGCAGGTTGTTCATCGAGCAAGCATTTAACGGTCAATTTAAAAGTATCGTAGTTGGTAGTACCGGCACCTGTGGCGCGCATAGTCATTTCCCTTGAGTTTGACGTTTACACACTACCGCCATCTGTTCAGCGTACTACCCACCACAGTGTACTCAACAGATGGCGGTAATGTTTTAGCGACGATGTTTTACAGTGAGAAATATTCAATGTGTTATGTCTATTTGTCTGTGCTAATAGCATTAGGCTTAATGACAAAAATCCTGGTTGTATATCAATTTGAGCATGAAATATATCACCCCAGCAGGCCTGGGTTCAATCAAAGTCGGCACCGCCGGGATGTTCTGAGGCATAACATCTCTGATCACGCTCTCCTTCGGAAGGGAAGTAAAGCCGTGGGACCCCGGTTAATGAGTTGATGGGTCGATAGTTAGGGTCCAGGTGTAGGAGCTGCCTCCCTGGCGTCGGTAGCGTTGATGCTCAGCACGAAAAACAAGATCGACGGAAAACAAATCAAGGAAAAAAAAACTACATAGCTTATGAACAGCCTTTTGATAATATATATTCATCGGAACTTCAAAGAAACACTTGGAACCAATGTTTGCAATGCAGTCAAGTAAGAATTTTAATGTGCTAGATTTCTAAAATCTGGAAATCTAAAACTGATTGCGATGGTGCGATGATGAATTACAAGGGTCATATAGAAGAGATTATCTAACCAAGGATTTGATGACAATCTTTATCAGTGTTCCAGCTCCAATCAGTTTCTATCAATTTCACTTTCCCCAGTACTATACTAAAACAGGTTAGTTCCAGACTTCAAGGGACTTTTCGGGTTGTACATTTTCTCAACTTCTTCGGGCTTTGTATATCAGTGTGACAAACACAGCGCTCAAAACAAAATACTTAGCTGAGAGCAAGAATTCGTTCCACTTGTAACGTCATCAACCGAAAAGAAACAAAACCATCGATTTTAAATGGTTATACAGATTTTCTTCAAGAATAAAAACTTAATGTATCAAACGGAAACCCAAACCACTCATATTCATTCAAGAGCAGACGAAAACCAATCCCAAAGATGAGAGCCGAACCGGAAGTTTTCCTTGCCCACACAAAACACACAACTCCTTCTGTGAGGTCCTCAAGTGTCCACTATCTATCGCCCCTAAACTGCACTAATTGCTCCATCAAGGACCTTCCATCCCGATCCCCCGCCGGGCCACCTCCAATAACGCAACAAAATCCGACACCCGGTTCAACTTGTGCATGAGATTTCCTCGCCCTTTCTCGACCTTTGACAACCGCCAGAAGTGGACACTGGACAGGAGGTAGATTACCGATCGCCGATTGCCACCATCCACATCGGTCGGAAGCCGGTTGATTAGTTCACTTCGTGTTCAACTCTTTTTTTTTAAGATCAAAGCCCAGGTGCCGCCGCTTGCCCATAGTATAGTAGCAATGGACTCGAACACTCAACGTAAGGTGAAGAGATAAAAAATGGGATTACCTTAGAGTAAAGAAAGGTCGAACCCGTCGGTCGGTCACTCAGTCATCGCCGTCGTCGGCAGCGTCAAACATAAAGAAGCAAGAGCAGAGAGTAAATTTATATGATTTAATAATTTTATTGCACGCATCTCCGGTGTTTTTGTTTCTGTTTTCTTTCTACAAATTTTACTCCGGGCTTTTTGTTTTACATATATCTTGAGCTACCGTCGGGCAACGATTTCATTCCCGCTCATTCGCCAGCACATTCCTCAGTGTTCTGATGGCGACCAACCGTGCTTCGGCTTCGGCGGAGATTTTGTAGCAACCACGAATGTTTAGGTGTTTCAAAGTGGTACAGTGTTTGACCAGGTGATCGATTGCCAGATCCGTAATCTCCGGACAGTTGTGCAGCCTCAGGGTGGTCAAACGGGTGCAAAACTTGGAAATGATTTCCACACATTGGTCGTTTACGTTCGGGCACTCGCTGAAATCGATAATCTCCAACGAAGGACAGTTGGCGGCGAGCTTTTCCACTCCAGAATCAGTTATCTATAATGGTAATTAATCGAGTGTGAAAATTAAAGGATAAATTCAAAAAATGAGGTTTTAACCTGAAGGCGAGCCAAAACTAGTTCCCTCAGCTCCTGCAGCATGAATTTTCGTCTGAACGAATAGTTGGTAACTCGATAGCAGCCGGAAAGATTCAGATAGCGCAACCTCTTCAGATCGTTAATGGAGAAGGACATTTGGAGGTCCCAAATATCAATTGCACATTCCGGTAGATCAATCCCCGTTAATCCTGCGTCCGAGAGCTGAAATGATCATTTGTCTGAAATAAGGCTTAATGTCGAATACGCTTAATGCAAACTGCGTTACCTTCGCACAACAGTCCAGATTCAATTCCTGCAAGCCCGTCATATGGTAGAAAATGTACTGGATTGATCGATCGTTGATACAATTTGAACAACCACCCAGATCAAGTACAACCAAATTGTTCAACTCGAAGGAGATTTTCGTGAACACCACCTCGCCAATGTTCGTCAACAGACCAAGGTATAACTTCCTCAAGCTCCGCTGTCTATTATGAGTCAACAGCCCTCCCATAATTCCCGTATCGCTGATCCTCTCACAGTTGGTTAGGTCTATATGCCTCAATCTGTTCAAATTCTTGATCGCCAAAATCCCATAGTCCGTTATCATCCAACATCGATTCAGGATCAACGTCTCCAACATAGGCATACACTTGCATATCTCAATCAAGCAAGAATCATGTAACGCCAACGATCGCGACAAGTCCAGATACGTGACATTCGTCTGCAACCGAATCAAGTCGATAATACCAGCATCAGTCGCCGGTATCTTATCACACACCATCAAGCTCAAGCTCTTCAGCTGCAGGCCCTTGATGTCGGCCAGATGACGCAAGAACAGATTATCGATTGGCGTATCGCCAATGTAAAAGTGGCGAACCGCGTGTTGATGATCGGACAGATACTGCAACACGTGCCCCAGCATTCGAAACCGATTCCCCGCTTCAATTCCCTTGAAACAGTTCGACACGTCTAGTGAATCGAGCTTTGGCGCCATGCCAACAATGAAATCGAAATGATGCTGCTCGAGTTTGTTATTGCCGGCTAGACTTATGTGACGCAGCTGCGGTAATGACGGACAGAACACTACCGTGAGGTTCTCGATGAACTTCCACGAGCGAAACAGATCCGGACAGTTCTCGATCGTTAGGCGCTTCAGCTTATACGTATACCGAAGAATCGACAGCAGTTTTTGTTTCCAGATGACACAGTTATCCAGCGTCAGTTCTTCGATGGATTCACCAAGTTCGGCCCAGAAGTCGCTGCGATTCCCAAATACGATTTTGGTTAGTTTCACATTCGGGAAGTACCGGAACGCCGTCAGTAGACTACGTACCGGTTCGACGTTGTCTTCGAATTCGATTTCAAAGATATGGAGACACGTTGACCGCAGAAAGTGTGGATGCTTGAGTCCTTCGTAGAAACCCCTGCACGCTTGAGCCATAGCGTAGCGATCGCTTGTATTAAGATACTTGAGCAGCATCACCATAATCTGAAAATGGAATCATTCATTGATCTGATCCTTGCCGAATAATTCCAAACAAACCTCGAAAGGAAGCTCCTCGAAAAATGGTTCATAGAAGAAAATAAAACCGTCCTCGAAGTGAACGTATCGATTCCGCTCTATCACTTCGCCGTTGATTTCCACTTTCATTTCGAGCACTTCACGATCCAAATCATTCGTCATCATGGCGATCTTCAAATTCAAATGTGCTGCCGATTGTGTGTTTTTGTTTGCTTGCGTGTTCAAGAATTCAAACTCGCGTCTCGAGATGGGAAAACAAAGCGCACTGCCGTACGTAGTTTTGATATGTGTAACGCTCACGGCGAACCTTGGCGATCAACTGATCGATTGCAGATCAAGATCATGGCTGAAGAGTACCCATCCCGAATGGATTTTTTGTTTGTTTGATGGTTTTCAATGTATTTAGTTGTTTCTGTTTACTTGACTTTTGAGATATTCTTCAATTGATCAAATGTCAGGTCAGTTCATTCGATTGCAAATAGAGAGTATTTTTTGAATAATGAATAAACGAACAAGTAGTAACTCATGCTGCAAGCATAAATACGATCTTTGCCACGATCATTCGAAATCGTAAGGTGCTTATGTGCACGATCGGCTTTTACTCATCCACGAAGACAATCGATCGTCAAATCTATCCGAATCGTTGGATCAAGCTACACTTACCGACAGTTCTGTGGACTACCCAGGCATCAGTTTGCCTAAAACCTTCGATCACAATGGAGACGAATAAACATCTGTTAAAATTAAGGGAGTGGAAAGAACTTATGGATCTGATCCATCCCCCAACCGCGTACATAGAGAGAATGCCTGAGTTTAGGAAAAAGCAACCGGAGGAAAGTGAACCGAGGTCGTCCCGATCAAGACTGTGGAGAACCAAGAAAATCATAGACTACACTAATCCAGATCCAGAAAATATTCTGATTCGCACTCCTCCACCGAAGCCAGATCCTCCCAAATCTTCCAAACCACCACGCACTGGAGGTAAGAAATCGAAGAAAACCCGACCACCACCACCGCCACCGGTGGAAGATCAGCCCGTGGAGCGAAGAATCAGCTTTATCGAGAGTCTGCCGAATATCACGTGGAATTTTAACAAAGGTGAACCCGACCCACCCGAAGCTCCCAAGTGGATGGAACCCTTCGATACGACCGGTTTCTTCGAGGCACGGTACGATCTGCTGCCCATGGAATTGATTCTGATCATTTTCAAACAAATCACCACCAGCGATCGGATTTCCGCTGGTGAAACATGCCGACGATGGAACGAGGCCTCGCATTACTACGAACCATTTCTGGACCAGACCTACTATCACTTCGATAAGGCAGAATTTGGCGATAACATCGCTCCGTTCAAGTACTTCAGCAAAGGTTTCCGGTATTACCCCAGGTTGGTGTTCACTCAAGTCGAATTCAACAAGCACAGCGATTTCTGGGAAATGCACGGCCTTTGGATTACGGAACTAACCCTACGGTCATGCATTATTCGAAAGAAAAAATTCATATCGATCATGCGAAACCTGCTGAACCTGCGCAGCCTGGAACTGATGCAGTGCGATGAACTGTTCAAAAACTGGAGCATCGAGTACAACACCCAAGAGCCGATGTTCCCGTTTTTCATGTTCTGTCTCAAGCATCTTTCCCTATCCGGGTGCGACTACTTCAACGAGTTCCACTTTGAACGTTTCATCACGATGGCTCCAAATCTCCAATCGATTGACGTTTCCAATTGCTTCATAAACCTGTACCTCTCCAAGCGAATCACCATGCTCGATCGAGTCATGAAACTGATCAGTCGAAATCGCTACCTGATGAAAAACTTGAACCTTGCCGATACACCATGTGTAGATGACTTCACGTGGCACTGTCTGTGCGACATCGACGATCTCCGTCTATCCCACTTCACCATTGCCTACAGTGACCGAGTACCGCTCAAAGAACCCGGAATCATTCGTTTCTTCACTCTTCAAACCGAGCTCACCCATTTGGATCTAACATCCTCGATCGGTCTCAACGACGAGTGTATGCAGATTATCATCACCAGCTGTTTGCTACTTCACACGCTCAAAATCCGTCGCTGTTGGCTGCTGAGTGACGAAGGAGTTATCGATATGCACACCCTTCAACACCTCCGAGTACTGGACATCTCCAGCTGTGAGCGAATCAGTGACTACGGTATCATGACCGGAATCGTCGGCAAACGGAACAGAGAGATGCACGAAATCCATCTCTCCCTGCTTAACAACCTATCGGACACGACCCTGTACTACATGGTGGTCACCTTCAAAAATCTGCAGATTTTGAACCTGGACAGCTCGGCCAACGCCGTCACGGACGAATGCATCCAGTACATCGTATGTTACCTGCATAACCTGCGGCACCTGAACGTCATCGCTTGCACCAAGGTAAGACATAGTTTTCTAGTCGGTGCTAATCAATCCGCTTTGAAGTGTGCCGTAATGGTAGCCATTCTTGTGCAACCGGACGGCACACGATGTTCATTTTTATCCAATCGAAAAAGGATACTCTTTTACTCGATTGGAGCATAATTATAGTGCACAGCACCGGGTGCCAAATCATTTCCCTGACAGGAATCGATCGAGTTGTGCATCGGTTTGACGCAAATATTTGCGCTACCTGGTGACGTGCATTGATCGCATCGCGGCAGTGAAATGATAAATCAACCGTTAGTATGTGTGTGTGTGTGTTTGCTTTGGTTACTATCGAAACGCGATTGCATCAATAACAACAACGTCTCCGATGACGCCATCGCATCGTAGTGCTTGATTGCGTTTTTGGCAAGCATCACCGCCGGTGATGTCGGCTGTGTCGTTTCCTAGTTTGTTGTGGCATGTAGGGGAGGAAAAATGTGTATCTGCTTTGTTGTGAGGACAAGGTTCAACAAAACCTCCGTGATTCTACTAGCAAAATGACTAGACAAACATTTCAAAGATCTAATCTACATATAATAGTGAACCGTTAGATATGGGTGATGAAAAGTTGTTAGGAGAGCAGGGTAGTGTTTACTAATTATTATTCATTTTCATGAACATTTAGTGTTCATTTTTAGTAAACATTGTTCCACTCTCCTGTCAATTTTTCATCAGTGGAGTAACGTAAATCCGAACAACTCGATTACTTTTGAACTTAATTGTCTTTGGAACACTTCCATATGTAGACGAGTGCACAGATGGTTCACTCACTCGAGAAAAAGTGACACAAACTGCGGAAAATTTTTACTAATCATAAGCACTAAATGTTCATTATTCAATAACATTTAGCGTTCAAGATAAGTAAACATTGCCCGTAGATGTGTCACTTTTTCTTGAGTGAGTGAACTCAAATCCATCCGTGAATTCTAACAGTTTTGAAAATATAAATTATTACAGCGGGTAAGCATTGTTTTTTATGTCATTCATTTCAGAATTTTCTTCAACTTCCATAGCAACTCTTATGGTACATGTCTTAACTACGACCAAGAAGTTTTGTTTCAAAAACAGGTCTCCCTTAGTACTTAGAACTTAAGCCCTAGAACCAGGATTAATAACTCTGCTTTATAATTATTCCTAACATTCCTAGCATTCGGCCTTATATGGGTTGTTGACACTTAAGCTAGTTCACTAGTTCAGCCAGCTCAACCAATTGTCACGAATTTCAGTTGTTCCTAAAATCTCATGCTGGTATATGCTGACGCCCTGTTTACATTATGCTGGCTACTTTTTAGTACAGTTCTAGTACACTAGCGCTAGCAAATCAACACAGATGTAAACACCACATTTTGAAATATAGTGATAATATAGGGCTTCCGAACTTTACATCCTTCATATGTCACCCTTATATAGCAAATAGTGAATTTATTGGGCTTCTCGGTGACTTGAGATATGCTATAAGGACTCAATCAATCTTGATGCTTAGAGAAGGAATATTGCATATATTCTGATGATGAGTAGCATTTCCCATTAAGGGTCAATTTTGTATATTAGACCTAGTTATGTATTTCAATCGGCATAGACCAATTTTAAATAGCAGGCATTTAAAAAAAGCACATTTGAATATATATTTTTTTAATTTAACATATACTAATGACGGTTCATAAACATGTTTGCTAATCCAAGTTGTGCTATGCTTATTGAAATTTCCAACTAGGTCTGCATTAAGAAATCTGAATAAATTTGTCCGTCCATGTATGTCCTAGTTTGAGTAAATTTCAAGGGGTAATCAACTCTGTACATTGTGCCAAAACACAGCATGGCACACTGTTTGGCACGTTAGGCAAGTAGGACACAAATAATATAAAATAAAACGTCATCACTGTTGAGTGTTGATGTTTTGCCAATTGTTTCTATGGCTTATTACTCGGTTGAATAATTTGTTAACTCAAAAATTAAGCTAGTGAGATAATTTGTTATCACACTGGTACAACAACGTTTCAATCAAGAATTTAAAAACGACAAACGGGTACCCACTGGTTTTGAGGATCGTATCTCTAAAAACCTATAGCAAAACTGTGTCTGTCTCTTCTGAATCACAGCAAAAATCCCAGTGGCTCATGTTTTCATCTAAAACAGCTACTATTCGAGCCTCACCTTAATCGAGTTCATCCACACCATGGCCGATCGAGAGCGTCTTATCGCTCAAGTCAAGGCGGCTGGAACGGGTTACCTCTAGTGATGATTCGTTTTCGATTGAAAAATGCCGACGGTTGCCTTTGATGATAAATTTGGATGGCCACACAAACAATTTCATCAATATCAAGCAAATGGAACCAAACTATATGACTGGAATGCGGAACACCTACACTATGCTCACAGAACAGAAATGGAACTTCGGATCCAAATGTGGCTCCATATTACATTTGTGAACACTAGCGCACATAGCGGTAGAAGGCAAACTTTGCCAGCAGTTTATATTAGCAGCATGCTTCCCATAGAAAACCCATGTGAAGCGCATCCACAACCATCGCTTGGTAAACAAATAAAATCTCCCACTTTTTGATACACTGGTTCGTTCACACTTCAACTTCTGTTCTGTTATTCATACGAAAAGAGGAGTACCATCCTGCAAAGATCGGATTTAAATTTCGAACGGTGACCATTGCTCGATGAATCCTCACTTTGACTCGGGAACTTTTCCTACGCTGCTCACATTCACGCAAGCTTTACCCAAAGGTACTGAAGTCTTATTCCAGAATACGCTTCTTATTTTTGAGCTATACATTTTGTACTGTCGTGGATATCCAATTTCTAAGCGTACAATGAAAGATCAGAGTAGCATCTTCTGCGAGAGTTTAACTACATTAACAAAAGCTTATCATAAGGGAAGCGACCAGATTCGAATCCCGGTCTTGCCGAGGATCTACTGGGATGGCCCTGCATTTTTCCTCGGATTTCTTCTCAGTCATTAATCTCATTTATGTAGTATGGACTTCAATAGGACATCTACAGGACTTAATAAGGATGTCTTTAAAATTATGAAAGAAGTCTCAGAAGTCCAAATATAAAAGCTCTTGAACCTCGAATCACCCACGATTATCATCTGTGCGAAGCTGAGTAGATTGATCAGAAAATTTTCGACTTCTATACAGACCTACTGAAGCCTGCAGTGAACGAAAATCCCATTTTCGAAGCATGACAGATCTTAAGAAGGAGATGTTTGATAATTTTCATCGATAGGAACCACAACTCCATTAAACCGTAGGTCAAGGGGTAAGTCACTCAGGACATTGTGCCGAAATCAGATTTGGCACAACTTGGGCACATCCATCGGCACACCTTCGGCAAAATCTTCGGCATTGGATTGTTGTAAATAAAATGGGAGCACTGCTGGATAACTGTCATTGAAGCTGTTCACAACGTTAGGTGCTGTTTGACTGTATATTCAGGAACATCCTCAAATTCAGGAGTACTTTGAGATTTGAGTAATTGCTTTTGTAAACAAACACGTCAATCGCTGATTGCTCGCGAATAAAAGCTCAATCTCGCAAACAAACAATACCAAATGATAGAGGAGTCATTCCTCTACCTGCTTGTGTGGTTAGTTTTTGAGATTGAGCTCCAATTCGCGAGAAATCGGTGATTGGCGTGTTTGTTTACAAAAGCAATTACGCTCTAATCTCGAAGTTCTCCGGAATTGAATATACCACAGGAACTCAGACCAGCAGTTCACTTATAGATCTAAATGCGAAATGTAGATTCTAGAGTGGGCTCAAGAGAAAGAGGCATCAGACCCCATTAGTAACCCTTAATTCAAATAATGCTGCAACTCATACAAAACAAACTTAAGAAGTCTATTCATCATCCTCTATAGTCGGTCTTCAACAATGTTCCCCACCGGTTCCAACTCTTTCCGACTGCTGATAAAGGGTGTCCACGATGAAATTGCCACACACAAAATTGATTCGCAAAATTCGAGTTTTCATCCGATTGCCATCAAATTTTCAGGGATTGAGAAATAACTATTAAACTTCATTTTACCATTTTACTCGTATTTTATTTACAGTCCATACGCAAATGCCCGCACCTTGGCCTTAACCCCGGCCATAAGATTCTGCACAACCTGTGAATCAACCGTTTTTTGCGTGTAAACCCATACTTTCTTCAGTTCCTCGACTATCTTCACTACCTTAGGTCGTTTAAGAAGGTGCTGCTTCATAATCGCCCAGTACTTCTCGATGGGGCGGAGCTCCGGAGTGTTGGGAGGATTGAACATTTTCGGCACGAAATTGACCTTATTGTCCGCATACCACTTCAGCACGTCCTTGGAGTAGTGGCATGAGGCCAAATCCGGCCAGAAGATTGTTGGGACGTTGTGGGCCTTCAGGAGAGGAAGCAGCCGCTTCTGGAGGCACTCTTTTATGTACACCTGTCCGTTCATCGTGTCCTGGGTCACGAAAGGTGCACTCCGCTTCCCGCACGTGCAGATGGCTTGCCAAACCAGGAATTTCTTCGCAAATTTGGACATCTTCTGAGTGCGGACCTGCTCCGGAACGCTAAACTTATCCTTGGCCGTGAAAAACAGGTTGCCGGGGATCTGTTTGAAGTCGGCCTTCACATATGTTTCGTCGTCCATGATGCAGCATTCAACTTTCGTCAGCATGTTGAGGTACAACTTCCTGGCACGGGTTTTGGCGGACTTGTTCTGCTTCTCGTCGCGATTAGGGGCCTTTTGTACCTTGAACGTTCGAAGCCCAGCCTTAGTTTTGGCCTTCTGGACAAAACTTCGGCTTAGGTGCAGCTTCTTAGCCACATCCCTAACGGAGGCGTTCGGATTTCGGTTGAAGGCCCCAACTACGCGGTTGTGATTTTTGGTGTTGTACGGAATACTTTTTCCTTCACTTCTGGGCTTCCGATCGGTGGTCAACCGTTCCTCGAACCGCTTAATCACTCGCGACACCGTGGAATTCGCGATTCCCAACGTTTTAGCGATGGAACTATGCGAGAGATCTTTGTTCTCGTGATGAATGCGCAAGATTTTATCACGCACGAGCTGTTCTTTCGACTTCATTTCCGCGAGTTTTGATCACAGGACTTTAAAACTTGCAGGATGTAAATAATGCACTATGAACTAAATCCACCCAAATTTTCATTAAATTCTACCCAACGGTTAAAAAGTTAGAGCAATTTCATAGTGTGGCAATTTCATCGTGGACACCCTT